CCTTCCAACAGTGGTTTCCAACAACCTCCAACAACCTTCAATGAACTATTGCTCCATGATTTTCCAAAAATATGAACTGAGACCCCCCTTTAAACTTCTGTTTTTAATAGAGCAAAAGAAGCAGTTTTCCTCACCACACAAACCAGTTCAGAAGACACAGAGCCAGCTGTCCAGGATGAATTGGCATTGGTGACACTGTTGGTTGTCTTCACTCGGATTTTGTCAACAGGGATGCCAAACTTGTACGCACATGTCTGGATAGCCTGAAATGATGAAGACATTTTGTATATTCATGCTGATCACACAGTGGATGTCAAGAGAAATCTTACAGACTTGAAGCAAGATCTAAATTTGAGTTAGAATGAGTTAAACAGAATCTCCCCATATTTGCTTCAGCGAAAGAGAAACTTCTCAGGTCAAAATAAAAGATAAGCTTCTTACTGCCTGAACATGCATTTTTTTTAATGGAAAGAAGAACCAATCCCCCTCTGCCCTTGTGTTTGTGTGGCATCATGGTGAGATCAGGCACTCGTCAAAAGAATGAAATTGAAGAAACCAACATTTTCTTTTGCCTGTTGAGCAATTTTTATCAATTTTTTTGTTTTGAGCCCAACACCTTTCATGTCTTTTTCAAAACACATTCTTGCGTGGATTGTACTGAATAATAATGATCAAAGGCACAACAAACACTCACACAGTCGAAAAAAAGTAAACTTGTTGTTTCCAAGGACACTTCAGCTTTGGAAGTCACCAAACCTTTGACACCAAGCTACTTGACCCCCACCTCCTTCAATCACAAATATTTTGACTTCTGTTCAAGATACATGGGTAATTTTTTTTCAACACAAGCAAAGCAAATAAACAGGCTTTAAGACGATACCAATAACTCCATAGGCCTAAAATTTGATGACCACCTCATTTCCATACATTGTGACACATTTAGTCTCTCTGTGTTTATCTTTGTCTGTCTCTGCTAGACCAGCCTTCCCGCAGGCACAGTACCCACCTTGGTGTTGATGCCCTGGCCCATGTCGATGCCACCATGCACAATGACCACACTGCCGTCAGAGTGGTTGACCACAACACTGGTGTTGAACCGCATGTAGCTCCACTGGTAGCCATAGCGACATGGCATCATCTGAAGGCCTCGCTTCTTCCAACGGTTAGCCTGCCACGATTTATTGTTGTAATGAGGTTCATGGGATCAGATTAGGTAAGTTATTATTTTTAAAAAGACTTACCGGGAAAGATAAAGCTGTCCCTTTCCATTTCAAACCTAGACAACCTAAAAGTAAGCATTTTAAGCTCTTCATGATTTTATTAAAGCTTTAAGAGGCACAAAACAGCTTACTTCAAAGGGTGAGTACTTAGTTCATTGACAATTGACAGGGTTGAAAGGAAAGACAAGGAAGAACAAACAAAATTATGACATCACTCGGACCTGAATTGCCAGATTCTTTATCTGGCATCACAACAACCAGAGAAGACAATCAGCAGAGAAAATTATTCACTGAAAGAGGAATGAGAGGGGATACAGACACTCCACTCTCAAGAAATATTTAAAATAATGACAATAAAAGGGGTAGAATGATTCTCCATTAAAATAGAAAGGTGCAGAACAGAAAGAAATTCACAGAACACAAAAACAGAGATAATGATTCAGAGAAGGAGGAGTTGAAAGGATATATATTCTTACAGACAAAGGTCAACAGCTGTCGCCTTACATTTCTAACGTTTCTGACTCAGAGGTAAAAACAGGCTCATCAACACACACTTCTAAACTGCTAATGATTCCACAGTTTTCTGCTCAGGGTAGAATTTCATCAGGACATAGTATTTTAATTAAGGACAACCTATCATATTATAAGTATGTAGTTTACCAGGTTTATCATGCCAGAAAAAAAAGTTACTCAAAAGTATTGTTTTCTATAAATTGAATCATGGGTGAAAGCTGTCAAAATCTCAAAGACTGAAAATGGCCATCGCTATCTATAGGCATAACTGAAGCTCCTTCCCCCTTCCAGTATCTGCTCCAAGTACCATGGCTAATGTACAGATGCTGGCCATAGACAAAACCTGACATCATTCGAAAATTTCATAAAAGTGAATATTATACTAAATTCCTGACACAAAGAATTCAAAGAATGACAAATATTTGTAGGTAAAAGCAAAGACAAAAATTTTCATCTAAAAAAAAACAATGAAAAAAACCCAACAACAACCAAAGAGCAAAGATAACTGGATTGACAAACGAACTGTTTAAAACATAGGACTGATACTGGAGAAAGGGTGAGTGTGTGTGTGTGTGTGAGGGGAAGGGGGTGAAATATCAGTCTCCATACAAAATTTGTACGTTTCTGGGTGTATAAAAGTGAGTTGATGTGAGTGTATGTGTGCCTGCAAGTGAGCGTATATAATTGAAAGTATGTATGTAAGTGTAAGTGTGTGTGCACGTGAGTGGATACATGTGAATGCATGTGAGTATATGTGTTTGCATGTGAGTGTACATGTGAGATTATATGTATATGTATGTGTGTGTGTGTGTGTGTGCATCTGAGTGTATGGGTGTGAGTACATGTCTGTAAGTGCAAGTCACCTCCTTACCTTGTTGAAGTTCTCCACCGCCAGTTTACGGGTGGCATAGGATGCATCTGTCTCCATCTGAGACACCATCTGGCTGATTAGGCTGTTCTCTATCACCATGCCAGCCAGGGTAGACTGAAAACATTCGACCACACCAGTATTAGGCTCAGGTGAAACAAACAATGAACAAAAGAAATTGGGACTTTCAAAGAGTGGAAGCTGAACCTTTTTGCTTTTAAAAAATTTTTTTTACCAACAATGTTCTCGGTCTTCCCAAGATCTTCAAAAACCAAGTGAATACAATATTCAAACAGTATGGAAGGATGGAGTTCCTGCTTTCTCATATGCCTTTACTGTGACAACATAGATGAAGAATTAAAATTCATCAATATACTTTTAAAAGTACAATACAGTGTCAGAGCATTTACTACCCAACTAAAGCACAACTGAGTTAGAACAAGAATTAATTACTACATGCATACAAGCATTTTTCTTCGGAAAGCATAAAATTTGAAGGTGGAAAAAAAATGACATGAAGCATAAAGGTCAGATAGAAGTATCACTGCATCTTACTAGAAGGTACATTTTTAAAAAACTTGGTATTATACGTAACATCCTCTAAAGGCTTTCATGTATTCATAAATTGGATTTTCTAATCAGAGAAAACTGGAACTTTCTCTCACTTGTCCGTCCTGAAAGAGGTTTACTTTGCGCACTTCCAGATGGTCCTTTTTCAGGTATGTAGCCACGTGATCAATCATGCACTCTCGGTGGTAGATGGCAGGGGCTGTGCCTGTCAAAAAAAAACCCCAAGATACCTGCTTGCAACCTAAGTAAATAGTTTGTACAAATGTGAATTTGCTAGAAGCCAAAGTAAATTTTTTTTTTTTGAGGGACAGCCTTTATGAAAAGGTATACTTGCATTATTTCGTAACTTTGAAACTCATTATATTTTGCACCAGAAAACAAGAATACACCCTCATGTTTTGATAAAACATTTCACTCTCAATCCTCAGCGCATGGCATCTTTTCCTAGCTATGGCCAATAGAATGTTCTACCTAGGGACATGGTATAATACCTCACATGTTCCTGTTCATTTAGCAGTAAATGGATATTTGGGAATCAGCAAAAATAATAATAATAGCATTTATATAGCGCATATTCACACTCTACAGTGTGCTCTATGCCCTTTACAACCATTATTACCCAAGCAGACCCTAGTACACTCAGAAACTCTCTTAGCTTCCCAGGAAGCACACAGTGCAAGCAGCCGATTTAGTGCTCAAACACTAACAGGCAAGATCCTTCACTGTCAATATCTGGGCACCCATTCCCACTTAGGTGAAAATTTGTGTAAAGCACCTTTCCCAAAGACACAACATCAGGCCCTTGAAGGGATTCAAACCCACGACCTTACAGTGTCAGTTGCGAGTCCGAGAACCTAATCACTAGACCACCGGCGCTCAGTCGAACCTGCTCTAAAGAACACCTGTTCAGACAAACACTTGTAGAAATGAGTACTTTCCACTTCTCTCCTTGTGCTTTTTTGTCTTTAGTACAACAACACGGTCCAAAAGGACCACTTGTCTAAGATGACAACTTTCCTCCCCCGACAACAGGAGGTTGTCTTGGACAGGCTTGACTGTATATAAACTATAAACTATCACACAGAAAGAACCAAATGCCTTAACTTCTGCAATGTGCTTAAACGTTTTTTTTAAAATCATGTGAAAGCAATCACTAGCATAAATTTTTGGACAAACATAATATATCGAATATTTTCACATTTCTAGATACATTAAATGACAAGAGAGTATCTTTATATAAAAGCAATCACTAGCATAAATTTTTGGACAAACATAATATATCGAATATTTTCACATTTCTAGATACATTAAATGACAAGAGAGTATCTTTATATAAAAGCAATCACTAGCATAAATTTTTGGACAAACATAATATATCGAATATTTTCACATTTCTAGATACATTAAATGACAAGAGAGTGTTTTTATATAAAAGCAATCACTATCATAAATTTTTGGACAAACATAATATATAGAATATTTTCACATTTCTAGATACATTAAATGACAAGAGAGTGTCTTTATATAAAAGCAATCACTACCATAAATTTTTGGACAAACATAATATATAGAATATTTCCACATTTCTAGATACATTAAATGACAAGAGAGTGTCTTTATATAAAAGCAATAACTACCATAAATTTTTGGACAAACATAATATATCGAATATTTTCACATTTCTAGATACATTAAATGACAAGAGAGTATCTTTATATAAAAGCAATCACTAGCATAAATTTTTGGACAAACATAATATATCGAATATTTTCACATTTCTAGATACATTAAATGACAAGAGAGTGTTTTTATATAAAAGCAATCACTATCATAAATTTTTGGACAAACATAATATATAGAATATTTTCACATTTCTAGATACATTAAATGACAAGAGAGTGTCTTTATATAAAAGGACAATGACATCTTTATCTGTGTTGAGGCTGAATGTCCACGGCATATATATGGTGATGAGCTGACACAAATATCCTCCCCCCCTCCACACACCCCATTCCAAACCCCCCCCCCCCACACACACACACAGAGACACCACCCCCTCCCCAACACACACAGACATTCCGACCTCCCTCCACTCCCCCACCCCCCAAACCTCTCTTCCAGAGATGAGTAGCAAACTCACTGACCTGGAGCTCTGACCGCTGTGCTGCAAGGTTTGTTTGTCTTGCAAGGTTGTGTGGTGTAGAGCCAGTTGGGGCAGAAGTATGCTGTTAGAGAAAATTGGAATAGGCATGAAATAAAGTGACTATAAACAATTCAAAATAAACAATACGCTAAAACTCAAATAAATGTACAGTGAAAATTCATAACAACTGATCATTTTCGCCTTTACTGTGTACGTGTTGTATCTTACTATCTTTTTAACTTGAAGACTAGACCAAAAACATCTATGATAGATAGCATTAAGTTAGAAAGCTTAATAACTGAGTGTGAAAACATTTAGGATGTTGCTGTGTTTGTTAGCTGACCTCTCTCTTCAGAATGGCTGGTATATAGAAAAATTAGACTTATCTATCAATTTTTGCATATGCACACACACACACAAATAAAGACATACACACACACAATAAAAATGGACTTTTATACGCATGATGACAATAACCAGGACACGGCTGTCCCCGAGCGGAGCACTTAGTTACCTGAGGAATTGACCCGGTCAGTCATGCTGCGCTCGGGTGGTCATGGAGGTCACTTTGACCTTTGTTCTACGAGTGAACCGTTGTGACTTAACAATTTTTATACAGTTTAATATCGTCATCATGGCTTAGCCCACAGACAAATCAAAGTCAAAATACTATCAACAGATAGAGGCATTCTTGAACTGTACAGTGGTATACAACAGTGACATGATGAGCTTTTAGAAACACTTACTTTTGGTTCGATTGGTTCAGAAATGTGGAAATTGTAAAAGATTTACTACTGTCTAGCTCATGAAACGAGAGATTTTTCGTTGTCTCCTCACAGTTCAAGCAGAAATAGTTAACTTGTAGAAGGTTCACTGCTATCCAATTCATGAAACAGGAGTTGAAACAGGAGTTATTTCCTCATTGTCTTCTGACAGCTAGAGCTGCTTTCACTTTCACAAACACAAATATGAATACTCATAAAAATAAAAGCAAAAGTGTCTTTGACTTCAAAGGCTAGTTGTCTTCCTCTTCTTCCCCTTCAGTATCAGCTTTCAACTGCTTCGCTTTTCCTTTCATTTCCACTGTCTTCTTCTCCAGTTTTGCGATGCTGAAGAGAACAAGTTCGCCACCCTCCTCGCTCATTAAACCTAGATCTAGACCAAATCCATATCAACTGTACCTTCCTTTTCTCTGCAGAGGAGTAACGTTTTCTGCGTGTCATTTGTGTAGCGAGTGTTTCTTCTAAATGAGACAATGGTTGTGTATTTGGTCTCTGAAGTGCAAGCTCTATTGATGTGTCTTCAAACTGTGCGAAAGAAGATATTGCACTGTCTTTGAACTCTTTCTGTGTACGTTTGGATGTTGAAGTCGCCGCTGGTGTCTCCAGGGTTAGATCTCTGTGTGGGGAGTTCACTGGTGATATTTCTAGTGATTATTGATCTACTATGGATGTCTGTTGAGTACTTTCAAGCAATTGTTTGTCTGCTGCAATTACATGGGTCTGTGTTTCAACAGATAGAAGGCTCTGGTAGGTCTTTTGAGTAAGACGGTGTTTGATGTTCTTTTCTAATACAACCATCTAATTTGAAGTGTGCAAAGGGAACACACAGGGCAAGCATCTATCGTTTTATTTTGATCGAAAAGGTGTCCAGATGTGTGAACTTTCTTCAATACTTTTTTGTGCAGCAGCTAGGTTGCTTCTCAAATTTTTAAGGTGTATATGCGCTGTAGGCCTACACATTTGTTGTACAGTGTACAGGATGTGCGTCTGCACTATCCCAGTCCACGTTCACATGATACAGAACGAGCACGTCATTCTTAAAATTTACCCAAAAATATTTGCTCTAGTTTGCCTTCTCAACCTTTAGACTTTTGGCCCCGCACGTTCTACACACTTTTTTTAAACACTCAAGGTTTAGTTCCTGAGTGTGTTCCATTTTCACTCGGGTAGCAGACTCTCGTAACACGTGTCGACACAGAATCCCAGAAAGTGAAAGTGGGACCTCGGGTGAATACCGCACGGGCTGCGCGGCGGCCGGGAAAATATCACAGTGAATCACAGGGTGAAGTAACAAAACTCAAAACTCGCCGTCCTGCTAAAGTTTTTCAACTAATCAAAACAATTTTTTCACAAATGACCTCCCTACTGACTCTTAATACAGCAGACAAAAAACTAGTTACAATCTGAAGTTCATGAATGGAAAAAAAAATCCTGATTTTGGAGGAATCCGAGAAATAGGTGCACCACAAAGTAGGGTTAATTACAGAGGCAGTGTGTGATCACGGTTAGAACTAGAACCAAACTAAAGGATGTGGGTTATTAGGGAGAATCATTTGATACCTCACACACCCATAGTGATAGATAAGACAGGACATTTACAGGGGTCTAAATCAAGTGAAAATTACAGACTTTCTAACCGAAATCGGTTAACAGCGCTATCGCCCAGGAAGCGATGCACGGCCTGACTGTTAGGAGGGATTATGACCCCGGGAGATCAGCGGACGGGTCAAACTAAGTGCTCCGCAAGGATAGTAGAACTGAACAGCTGTGAGGAATTTATGCATAATATACTATATACCTCAAAAGTTTTGTTCGGGGAAGTGAGGGAGCTGTAAAATGGACATCATACTCAGGTATTAAAAAAATGAACAGAAGCTTAAAAGTCGGCTTCTACAACGGTATAAATGATAATCTCACTGTGACAACCAAAATTACTGACCTCCGTCCAGCATGAAGTAAGTGTACTCGTTACCATCCTGGTTGAAAAACAGAGCCCCTGTGTCACTGTAACTCTTAGCAATGATTGCCAGAATCTTGCCATTGTCATCAAAGCCGATCTGAAAAAAAAAAGTAATTATAGATGTTTTACGCCCTCATCAACATAATTTACATCATTTAGGAGACAGGCTGCTTCGACCTTGCCTGTAGGGGCCAACCTGGATACAACGTCCGAGGAGACAGACAGAAACACTACATAAAAAAACCTCAACACACAAAAATCGAACTGACATTTTCTATATGTGACAATGAAACATCAAACCGTTTCAGTTGCCCCCAACAAAAAAATGTTCACATGAGAACCTTAGCTGAGTTGACAGTTAGTAGTCAGTTATTCTAAAGTGGAAGGACATCTAAATTCATCTACAAAAAGGAGGATGCAAAAAATTAAAACAAAATAGAAAGTCATCAAAAACTTCATTTCTTTGTGCATCCACTACTATCATTACTGATATTGTTATAAAATAGACTGTAAAGTCAAACATTAGATATCACTAAGCTAAGTGCCAGACCCAGTAAACAAGACTCACCTCATAGTCATATCTGTAGCCTGTTCTTTTGCCTTGGAACTGCATGTTGGTGTGAAGGTCCATGTGAAGCTTCACAGGCCTGAAAAATACATATATGATTATAGGACTCATTGCTTTACCATGCTTCTTTGTAAAAGCATTTGTCTGTGGTCATAACATTACTTTGACCTTGGAGATTCACCTTGCTCAAGACTAAAAAAAAACAACTTTAAAAATATTGATTACAATTAAAGAATTTGGGAGGCGGAGATTCACTACACCAAAAGCTACTGAGTTTCAAATGAATATCATTGGCGTCCAACTTTCACTTTGGACTCACCAAGTTAGCTTTGACACTTCTTTTGTCTGAAATCAAGTTATTTACAAGCACAGTTGCAATTGGCGATACTACAATAAATAAAAAGAAGACACCACACAAAGTTTTAAGCAATTCTAGAAGATGCCAAGAAGGAAAAACTTTTTTTTTCTACAAAAAGTGTTTGACCTAATTTGGTGCATCCACAGTTAGAGCGACACCAATTATATTATGTAATATCAACATTGTGCACCAGCCATCCAGAAGGGTACGGCAGGTCTGCTCACACTGACCTGTCCATAAGTTGTGCTGCCACGGCACACATCGCTCCCACGGGAAGGGTGTAGAAGATCTTTCCACCAAAAGCTCCACCAAGTCGCTGGGTCTCCACATGTACACTGAGAAGAGACAACAGTCAGCCAGTAGAAATGTTTTTGTGGGAGAAAGAAAAAGAGTGACAACACACTCTGGGACACTGTGAGAGGAGAGGTAGTTACAAGTCAGTAAGAAAGTTTATTCAGTGTTTAAGGCCATTGGCCCACATCACATCATAATGTAAAACACTCATTTGTCGAAATTAACTTCCCATAATGAAAAAGTGCAGGTTGAGCACATATCTCTTATCATGGGTCAAACATGGCATACTTCTGTTAATGGGTCCAGTCAGGCTGGGAGGAATTAACAATTTCCCTTGATGGTCAAAATTAGGACAATGAAAAATAAAGTGAAATTCATGTTCAAGGTAATGAGTTACACCTCTTACAGGTAGCTAGAAAAGAGAGAGAGGAGGGGGGGGGGAGGATAAATAGCTGAGCTCACGAAGTCTATTGGGAAATGGAGATCTAAACTGGAAAAAACATGTGAAATTGTGTAGATTTAACACCATTTGCAACACTGTCAAGTTATTGAAGAGTCAGGGCCTTCAAATTTAATTGCTATCTCAGATAGGACCAAGCTGAAAGGTAATAGTCGTGTAGAGTGGCCTTCCCAAGGATACACCATTGGGCTGCACTGAGCCTTAAACCCCCAAACCTAAAATCTAAAGATTATGAGCCCAGTAGCCCAACAACTAGTTCCACCAAACAAAACTGGAATTACAAAAAAAACTCACAATTATGAAAGAAACAGCAATGCAAAATTATGATTTCGGAAGGTTAGATAGATACTTTTCATAATAGAATCTGCAGAGCTCTGGTGAACATAAGTCCCTTCTGCTAACTAATTTGACTGGACCAAGTCCTGTAATTACGTTTTCTCGTGTGTTTGTACTTCAAAATCTTATGCTTTCTTACTGTTTAGGTAAAAAACAGGTATTTTCATTGACTTTAGCCAACATCAAATTTGTATGCTGTTTCAAAAACTTCAGGAACATACTAGGTACCAGAAACTAAATTTTCAAACTAGCTGTATGCCAAATTTATCTGTTCCATTTGAAAGGCCTATATCCACTGAGCATTTTGGTACCATTCTTTAACATCTCAGTCAATTTTTAAGAAAATTGTAGTTGTTTAAAATTTGATCAAATTTGTTAAAGTCAGTCACTGGCTGCAACCCCATGTTTGACAGACAATAAAAAAGTAACAAGTGCACTAAACATCTCCACATTAACAGAGTACAATCACTATAACAAATATATGGAGCATAATTTTTTTCAAGACTGTGAGATCTTTACAAATCAGTACTTTATCACCTCAAACACGATATCTGTCGTTATTTCGACAAAAACACCGAGCGTTGACCCGGCCGGCGTCGCACCGGCCCCCGCGGCGAGCGAGTCGGCTCTATACTGTAGTGTACCCCGCGTGCGGGGTCACATGCTTTCTGTGACTCGCGGAAGGATTGATGTAAAATAATTCCAATTTAATTACTTTATTCTAATGGAAAATGAACTGATCTTTTAATCAATAGTGTTAATAAGCCGGTATTTTACATATTTTGTGTAAAAAGTGATCTTTAAACATTTTGACGGTATTTTTAAAAGCTTTCTATAAAGACGCTAAAGGTTAAACTTATATCACGGGAAAGCCCGTTTAAAGCTCTACAGTTCTCCGCCAATGAAAATACGGTATTTAATCAACCCTCGTTCCGCGAAGCACTTGAATGCACGCGTGTCAATTTTTCAACCGGCCGACCTCGCATTCTGACCGCGAGGGGCTTCGCTTTCGTCGGCGATTCTCCAGCTGCTAATAATCGGACATATAAACAACTTACACCATTGTAACGAGGAAAAGCTGAACTTTTACAAGGTGTACGGCATTTGGTGTTTTATAGCGAAAGAGCAAAGAAACAGCGATCGGAATTAACCCGATTTTACCGATACCACGCGGTCGGAAGGCCGCGAGTGCCCGCGAGGCCGTGTTTACACTACCTAAACATACTGTCATGAAATAAATAAAACGACTTTTTAATTTTGACAATTTTTCAATTCGCTGAGAATATAATGCAAAAATGATGCAATTCTGAGAGAGAAAAATCACATTTCTCTAACCAAAACCAGTATTTTCCCTAAAAAGGTTCAGGATGATAAAAAATTGTCTTTAAGTTTGAAAATACTGTGTTTCAATTTCCAAATAATACACCTTATGATCATTCTTTAATCGCTAGAGATTATTTTCTTTTTCCATTTGGAAATTTTTGAAGGAAAAATTCAAAGTGGCATTATTTCCATAGCAACAAACAGGCTGATCTTGTCTAATGTGATGAATATCTTCCTACCTAACTAGTGTGTATTATTTAAATTCAATTGGTTTTACATTTATTCGTGTAGCCCACAGTTCAATTTTTCTTTTCCCATTTAGAAAGAAAGCTCAGAATGCAACCAAAAAAGTCGGCTTCCTTCAGGCTTTTCTCATCTTCTTGCACTGTCCTCTTTTCTGACTAGACGGACTCACTCAGAATCTGGCAGTCCCAACACTTGAGCCACTGAGGAAAGAGAGGCGTCCAGCCACTGTGAGGTGGCTATCACATCCATGCCCCCGGTGTCTGTCGGTGTGCAGATGGCAGCCTGAGTCTCCATGTGGAAGTTGTACTGCTGACCACTCTGGCTAGAGCCTGACACTTTGTGAGGGGCCGATGCCATGGCCGCTGTCCAGAAAAGCAATTGAAACGATGAATACACGTTGCTTCTTTTTTTTAAAAATGAGCTCAAGTGCTTAAAGAGGTAAACTTGGCATATTAATGTGATGACTGGCAGACTTACTGAAATACTCTTATACTGCTCTTTTTTCTCTTTCTTTTCTTCCAGTCAACATGATCTACAAGGACAATAACAATAAGTGCCCATAACTTAGCTCCCCCAAAAGTCTGTCCTCCTCTTTCTTCGCACACACACACACACTCTTTCAGTTCTTTGTCTCTTTCTTTCTCATAATCATTTCCATTTTCTACCTTATGTTTTTCCATTTCTATCTTTCAACCACTCATTGTTTACTTTCTATAAAGCTTCCATTCTTCAAGTCTTCCCTTTCCTTCTTCTATCTCATCTCTCCAGCTCCTATGCTGTATTTGGCTTTGAAACATGCAGAAGATTGCAGTTCATGTCGAAGTGTAATCTGTTTTTTTCTCCATATTTCTGAAATATTTTTGTCTCAATCTGTTGTCATGCCAGGGAAAACCCTACTCAAGGCTTAAGATTACCTACTTTGTGTCTAATACAACATAACACTTCAACCAACAAAAAAATAGACCTTTCATCATCTCTTTTTCATCGTTCTATATTTTGTTTCGAGTAATTCTTGTCATATCTTTCCACACATCCATCACTTACTCTCTCTTTTTTGCTCTCTCTGCATCTTGATCTGTCTGGCATTAACATAAATTCAATAAAAACATTTTTTAAAACTTCCTCCCTCTCAATATCCTTCCCTTTCCTGAAAAAAAAAAAAATTGAAATAAATGAGTTTTCCAGAATCCTTCTCCAGCACAGAAGAACTAGCTATTACTTGACACAACGTAAATTCATATTACATTACTTGGTTATTGTATCTTTAAAAAAAAAGAAGGATAAATATTTAATGGGCCAGCTGTTCATATGTACTAAATCCAAAATTAAAAAACATTTTTTAATGCAGTTTCGTACTCCGTGGTATTGTTTGCATATGCTCAAAGAATAGTGTGTTAAAATCAAAATTCCCCATGTCGATAAAAGCAAGAATAGATACATAATATAAGTATTATTATTAAAAGAATAAAAGAGTTTTCATTTTCTCCCCCGAAAAATTAGCTTTATCAGCTTAGTACATCTGATTGGCTCACCGAAGATTTGTGTCCAGTCTAGAGTATTGACAATGAACAACCCAGTGGGTGGTTGAAGGTGCTCTGGTGTGGTTTGCTCCATCCTTCCTATTAAACATCTATTGCCCTTATCTCCCCTCCTTCTTTTTTGTGTCTGTAACACCTCTAATCTTGGACACTTATATGACCTTATTGTGTTGCAAGTGCTGTAAAACTCTATGTGTGTGTGTGTATGTGTGTGTGCGTGTATATGTGTGTGTGTGTGTATGTGTACACGTGGTGTAACACCAAACCAAAGTGCCAGGATCTGGACAATAAAGAAGTATCTTATCTTATCTTAAAACAAACTAAAATGAACAACCCAAGAACACACAAGTCTTTGTAAAACAATCAGGAGACCAACCTTGGGCGTCTCCTTTAGTGTATGGTCCCAAAAGCTCAAAGAAGGATTTCTTCTGAATGGCATCATTCAGGTCAACAATGGGCTGCTGTATGTCACTGTACGTGACCTTCACTGCAAACGTTGCACTCTGGGCGGTGATCTCATCCTCTGAAAGAGAGCATTCAGTTTTTGAGTCATGTCTATGACACTAAATAAAACCATCTATCTAAACATTCCTAAGGGTACACAAAGGACACATGCTCGAAGGCAGCTGGATTAACAACAAAAACAACAACAACAAACATCCCTAAAACTATGCTGTTAGGTTGATAATCAAGATATAAGAAGCAAATAGACTAAAATCAAATCACTTGGTGATATATGGAATTGAAGTCTCAAATTTTTAACAACTGTACAGAGAAATTAATAGTGTAACTGCTGAGAGCAAATACATACAAATGTTTTTTTAGAACAAATCTGATCAACACATAGGCCTCCTTTACACAATCTGAATTACATTTCGCACAAAAATATTTAAAAAACACTATTATTTAAAGCATTCTGTTAGGCTTCATTAACTCTTATCCTGCGTCTGTGCCCTGATGCGAATCTTATCAGCAACCGATTACGTCAGATGTGCTGGGCAGTGTGTACTGTTGGTGTACAGCGCGCGCGCCAGGAAACGTGTGTTTTCCCCATGAATACCGCGGGAGTGTGTTAACCGATGATGAAAGTAACGCTCTATCTTTCATAGCTTTCTATTTATAAAGTGTTACAAACACATGAATAACCCCCTCTCACAAGCTGATAAGACATTACGAGTAGTTACGCCTATTCGAATAACCTTTCTGGATGCTCTTGTTGTTATGAATGACCTGAGGTTCGAAAGGGGATAATATAGTTCAATTTCCGAATGTTTTACACTCAAATCGTTCTTTGTACCAGCACAACGGTATTCAAAACTTAAACAAGCTTATTTTTTATCAGGTAGCATCATTTCATACAAAATCAAGCTCATTTGAAAGATTTTGTATAGAAAAACGGAAGTCTTGTTTCCTAACTATCCTTTTGAGCTCCTCATGTCTAAGTGGGTCAATTTCTTCTATAATTTCATTGGACGAACATCTAGAGCTACCAACTTGGCATGTTTTGAATGAGACGTATGCCTCGATTACGAACCAATGCAGGCGGTCCTAGAAGAAGGTCACAAACGCACACAAACCCAAGCAGACTGACGCACACACACTTGACCTGCGTGAATGGGGATCCGACTCGGGACCCGAATGACACGTAAGAGGATGCGCGCTGCATGTGCGCTGAGCCAGGGGCTACACTGATTCGGGACCAGAACGTAGGCTTATCGGGCGGCATAAACCTGGCTCCCGCAGGACGAGGGTCAAATAGCATAAAGATGTTGACAAACTAGAAGCATCAATGAATAAAGCAAAAGCAAACAGTCAAGAATTGTTCTACTGAAAGTCAGTTGGATTAATCAGGACATTCTATAAGAAAAAACATACCAGCAACAACAATGCCGATGGGCTGACCCGCATAGTACACTTGTCCTGAACTCAGAAGCTGAAAATAAAAACAAAACTAATAAAATACTGTCTGCATGAATCAGGATAGTTATTTACTGTACACCAAAACAGACTAATTAATTCCTCTTTAGGGAATAACCTTTCATGAGGTTTCTAAAGCAAAAAAAGCGACATTATGTAACCATACAGAATGCCCAACAACTCACATGACTAAAAAGCATTGAAAAGTGAATCAAACTGAATTTTCTTTAAAATCATAATTCAAGTACAGTCAAAATTCTCCAAGACAGTCACCCATTGTTGAGGAGAAAAGCGATCTTCTTAGGTGGACATCTTGAAAAGTCATTATAATATAGAAAAAAATGGAAAGAGGAGGAGATACAAAAAGAGGGGAGGGAGAAAACGTAAGAGGGAGAGGGACACAGAGAGGGGGGGGGGGGGGGGGAGTGGGGAGTGGTCCACATGTTGCTTCTCCCTTTGAGAATTATTTTAAAACAGAAGAAACTATTCATTACAACACAATGAGTAATACAAGTCCTGGCTCAGAGGCCAATAAATGGGAAGAGAAGCAACCTCCTGAGAGAATCCAGTGTATGCTCCCCTGGGACGCCAGTTGTTCTCTCCAGGGATGTCTTTGGCCTCAATAAACTTCAGCACCCCGGGCATTTTCTGAGCACAGCAGATAAAGAGGACTGGATGAAATAAGCTGAGAGGGAGCATCTATATATTTTGACACAGTTTAATCTATTCCAAAGTAAAGTGTCAACGTATGCAGAATGGAAAAAATTACTACGTTACCTATGGAAAAAGCAGAACGAAAGTTTTTGTCCCTGAATATAAGCTATCATCTGGGCTACAAAATAGTCATTGTTATATTCTGCCAAAATACTAATTGCGTTATTTTTATTATAAACTCTACAAAAGAAAAAGCATGTCATCTTGTCCTTTTTGGGTATTTACCAGTCACCCAAAAAGTAAAACAAAGCTATTAAAGGAAAAGCCAGAGAAAGTAATTGTTCTTTAATAAACTTATCACAAAGAAGAAAGCAGAACATAACTATTTCATGTTTTCTTTTTAATAACCTTTTACCAGAAAAAAGGGAAGTAGTCTCACTTAATTTCTATTTCATTTTCTCTTCTAAAAGTTTACCAAAGCAGCGGAGGGATCAATGCTCTGTATCTTGGCATTTCCCTGGGTGGCCAGGACAGCGGCTGCATACACTTGCCCTTGAGCAGGGCGCAAGTCTGGAATGAACTTGATCTCTCCTGTTGTCTACACCACAGATGAAAACAAAGCATAGAAAATACAGTTAAAGTTAAAGCTGTATAATGTAACCTCCAATGGTTGAGGAGAAAGAAGTCATCATCTTAGACAAGTGGTCCTCTTGGACAGTGCCACATAATCTGGCAAAACTACGAGAAGGAAGTGGGCAGGGGTTGTTTGTACTGTCATCACCTCTAAAAATACAGTATACGGAGTTTTTACAATTTCACAGAAAGGCTAAAAAACTGAATATGGTTACCAAGAAAACAAGCTCTTTGCAAACATCCCAAGCCAATATTTTTAAGAATACAATTTTGATAAAGACTTCCTTAGTACCTTTAAAGCAAATGTTGTATTGGTAACAACATTCAGGTTTTTGGCTCTCCCAAAGAGGAAATAAATATTACTATTTATAATTACTTTGGGCTCTTCAGTACTTTACTTTCATCTGCCGCTTATGCCCTTTAGTAAAAACTGCATTTTCTGTATTTTCAAAAATGACGCCAGTGTACAGGTGATTGTCTTGGACAGGTGGTCATTAGAGTAGCTTTTGACTGTATAAAAATGAAATAGGCAATGAACTAAGAGAAAAAAGAGAAGCAGAGTATATGATAAGTAGCAAGAAAAAAACAAGACAAAAAAATGTACAGCAAAAAAAAAAGGAAGAAACAAATTAAATTAAAGGAGAAGACATTTAGAACGGTATGGAGGAAATCATGAAAAACGAAAATGAAGAGCTAGAACAACATAGCACTCTATAGGGGCACCAGAAAACTCACAACAAACAGTAGCAGATCAGGGAGATTTTACCGAGTCTACAGAGTGCTGTAACACACTACAAAGCCATTCAAAACTTTACGGCAAACCCCCCCCCCCCCCACACACACACACACCCCCCAATCTTCATCCCCTTATGCCTCATTACTTTTCCACATGAGATCTCTCAAATTTTTTTTACTTAACCAAGAAGACAAGGTGTTCAATCCAACCTATTATTGGATTAGGGGATAGGGGATGTAGAAAACATAAGTAAAATCCAGACACTGGCAATGATTGAGCTAAAACATCACACCAGTTGAGGAACGGAGTCCCCCTTTGTGAATATTAATCCTTCTCAGGAGAGCGTACCAAGTTGTTGGCAGTCACTTTCATCATGGCTTTAGACACAGGGTAAGTCTTGGGGTCATCAGTGCCATATTCCTGAGTGCCCGACATGACCGGCCGGTTCAAGTCTGTGCCACCGCTGACGTAGCGCGGACTACACTTGCTCTGACACAGCTCCAGAACAAACTGCAGGGGGAAAAAAAGCAAAATAAATACTCACAACAGCGATGGTTTAAGTTTTTGTAAAAATATTTGCTGCACTTGCAACACAAATATGTCACAGAAGTGTTGAAAATTAGGTGTTACTTAGGAGTTTGGCAACCTGTTATGAATGTCACTTACCCAGTCAGTCTCGAGAGTCTATAATTCCATGTACTCAGGCTATAAGGGAAGAAGTGGACCATGCAATAGATGAATTGAGGGAGTTAAAGAAACCCTGAGAAATAATAATAGCCCAATTGAAAGAAAGTGCTGAACTGGCCCACCTAAGAAAACTGCATCTCCCCTCGACGCTTAACGGCAAAAGAGGATGAAAAAGTATAAGTAAGTAAGTACTAAGGAGTAACTACAAACAAAAGAAGGAGGAGAGATAAGAACGATAAATGTTGGATATGAAAGAAGGAGCAAACCACACCAGAGCAGCCGCTAACCGCCAATCAACGGTATTAGAGAAAAGAGAAACCTACTTCATAAAAATGGTTTAGATCAGCACAATGACTTCCTAGGCAAAGATAGACGCGAACACAATCACTTATATCAACAAAATAGCACAAAACAATCCTAATATCCTATCAATATGAAAATGCATTTACATCAAAATGAAGATCCATATCAACACACATTAGCGCAATGGCACACATCGATACAAAGACAGAAAATAACACAATGACACACATTACTACAATGGTGTACCTAACGTTAACGAAACAATGCTCATCAACTCAACTGCAACAATAAAATGACAAAAAAAACCAACCCAGTGATGCTTATCACACATTAACACATAAACTAATTTAGTTACTACTAATGCGATGACATATATCAATACAACAGTGAACATCATCACAACTTCAACACCTTCACCAAAATAACAGACATCAACACAATGAGGGACATTTCACACCAATACAATGGAATAAATCAATCAATACACTTTCATTAATCAATGCAAAAACAAACATCAACAAAATGATGCACACATGTGTATGCCTGTATGTGCATGCATGTGAACACACACAAATACAAACACATTCAACAAAGCAAATGTGCACAAATGTGCACACAGACTCACATGTGCATTCATGTTCAAAACCATTTTTATATATCGTCGGCGGAGAATTCTAACCGTCCAACTCCGATTTCATAAATTTTACAGGAGAGACAAAAAACTGAATTCAAAGGCTCTTATGGGGATTTACTGTCTTTAAATGCGCTAGACTGGAATACATGACTCTACTTTTAAGTATTTAAAACAAAATTGCCGAAATTTTATTATTTTAAGTCCTAAACCAGAGTTATACGGATAGACCGCTCAGTTTTGGATTTCTAATTGTCCAAGTGTCGACGAACGAAATGTTCGTTTAGAATTCTCCAACCCGGCGGGGACGCCACGCGCTTCGTTACGTCTAACTCAGTCATCGTGACACGTTAGTGTTACCGAACAACTGGAAATGACTACACCTGCAGTCAATCCAATAGGAAACCTACTATAAAAGTTCTAATTAGTACTACATAGTACTGTAGATCTAGAATCTAACAATAATACTGTTATTATATCTAAAACTGAATGTCGCACTTCATTTCCACATAATTCTAATTAGGCAATGGGCTTGTCGACAGATCAAGTGCGTCGTTAAGTTTTTACTATAAAGCTACTATTTGATCCTCCATTCTCAAGGAAATTGTGAGAAGGATTGGTTTCTTGTCTAGTTACAAGAGAGAGAGAGAGAGAGAGAGAGAGAGAGAGAGAGAGAGAGAGAGAGAGATTGAGAGAGAGATTGAGAGAGAGAGAAGGAGGGGAGGGACTGAGAGAGAGAGAGAGGGGGAGGGGTCTGAAAGAGAGAGAGACAGAGAGAGATGGTCAAATCTCAGTTTGTATTTAATTTGACCATCTGGTGTGAAAACTCTGGTTGGTTAGTTTGATGAAATCAGAAAAGATACAATGAGTCAAATACTTGATTTGGAGTCAAATCAGATGACAAAAAATCAACCATACAAGGAGCAAATTTATTTGCAGTCAGAGCACCTTCGAATTCATTTGAGACATAACATACACATACCCCCCCCCCCCCCCCCCCACACACACACACACACACTCATACTTTTCTTTATACAAACGGCGGTACACTGCCTGTAAGCTCTGGAAAACAGGTTCCAAGTATAACTTACTGGAGTCCCTCGGCAATAGTGAGATGGCAACTTGGGCAGATCACAAAGAAACTGTTTAAGTACCTTTGATGCTATAGTCTCCTCCCTAACCCTTTTTCTCTGAACTGGAACCTCACCCTCTGCTACACCCAACCCACATGTGAGAACAATGTGAACACACTAGTAACTGAGTACAGGACTTAAGAAGAAAGCCGTGCACACTTTGACTCTGGCTCCATTCACTCGCAGATGGTACTTCATGGACCACGATCTTCTGCTTTCTCTTTCCTTTTTCTCCACAGGCTCGACACAGTCGACCAACCCTTTAACAAAAGCAGCCTTTTCTGATTTTACACTTTATTTATAATCAAACGCCTCCATCAGAGCAAAACATTATCGCCGTGATCCACAATGGCGGACTACCTAAACGAATTAGACGGTTAGAATTCTTCAGTCACGGAAGCCAGTCGGAATATACGGTTAGTCTTTAAAACAAGACTTTTGTTTGTCAAAATTGTTCTAGATTTTAATAGGACGTAGCCATTCGTTATGTCGATCTATTTTAAGGAAAAAAGCAATTCGAGAAAATTTCGAGTTAGACGGTTAGAATTCTCTGCCGACGATATACAACTAACCTTGTAGAAATGGCCCAAAGCAAGATTCTTTCGGTAGGTTGGGCTGGCTAGCACAGGTGCAGAGTCTGGGACTATCTCAACAGTCAGATGATCTATAGCACCTGAAAACAACCAAGAATGCATTTGGGAGAAAAGATATCATAAGTATGCTTATATCAAAACACGACTTCATCGCACTTCTATGCTCAAGGAAAGACACTGAAATGAAAGTAACTACAGGTGCTGATTTAAAAAAAATTTTTATAGTAGATGTTTTACGGCGCTCGCAACTGCATAAGGTCATATGAGTGTCAAGGGGTGGGTGTCGACAGAGAAGTCTCTACAGGGAATCAGACTTAGACTGCTCATCTCTCTAGCTTCAACAGCACAAGGTCTGCTTCCACTATCAAGGCACCCCAAAATAGCAGGTCACAAGAGAGTGACAAACATACAAATGAAGTAGAGGAAAATGACGATAGTAAGGACCAGGAAAGAAAAAGCAGCAGTTCCCTGTTGTAGATCAGGCACAGTTATGAGCGTGACATGAGTCAGCCCATTTACAATTCTACTATGCTTGAACGAGAAATGTCCCCCCTTTGGGAATGGCCTAAAGACACTTCAGTCAGTGGCACTACCCCGTGGGGTTGATTTTTTTATCTGAACACATTCCTGGGAGCGACAAAATTTACCCTTCTCCTGCGCACCAAATGCCCACCCCAGTGTGAAACAGTGGATCTCTAGCAGTCAAGGTACAGGAGTCAAATGCACAGATCCAGTAAGCTCAAAGGGGAATCTCAAAGGGGAATCTCAAAGGGGAATCTCCAAGGGGAATCTCAAAGGGGAATCTCAAAGGGGAATCTCAAAGGGGAAACAACAAATCAAACTGGGCCTGAAAGGCATAGGAAACAGTGGCACATTTCACCGAATCGAGCTTTGCAAACATCAAAGTCCAGAGAAAAGTTATCGATTCAAGAATCCTTTCTAAAAATAAAATATGAAAACTAGATTTCATGAACTCATAGAAGTGAGCCACAGAGAAAATGTTCAGTCTGGACACATGGCTCTTTGAGTTTGACCCTCTCATTGTGTCAAATTATTCTTAAGATCAATAAAAGGTAAAAGTAAAAGAAAAAATCCTTGATACGTAACAACAACAAAATTTATATGTTCATGCACACAGAGGTTCTTACTTTAACTTTCAAGTTCAGTCGAAACTGTCCGAAACAGCTTCCCATTGTCAAAAAAAAGAGGTTGTCTCAGACAGGTAGACATCTTGGGCAGTGTCATAAATTAGTAAGAACATTAAGGGGGAAGGGGGAAGGGGGGGGACACATGGGAAAAGGCCGTTTGAACAAGTGGTTGTTTTAAACAGGTGGCCGCCAGGGCAAGTTGGCTGCATTAAGTTTAAAAGAAACAACAAGCCTCTGTCTGCTTAGATTTGCCTTGAACCAATCATAAACATTATTACAAGAGAGTATGTCTGACTATCTGAGAACCAAGCTTTCTTCTACGTTATTATTCTCTGCAGCATTTTTACCTTTCAGCACGTTGGGGTCTCCAAGCTGCCGGTTCAAGAGATAGCCCTCAGTCTGAACAGCATGAATCTGTCAAAAACAGAGTTGTTACATTTGAAAGTAGCATAAGAATACAATCAAAGCCACACAATAATTAAGATAAAAAACAAACCAAAATCTACAAAAACAAAGAAACATTGAGATACGAAAAGCCTTTTCTAGCAATGTCCTCTCACTAAGTGTTTGTTACAGAAAAAGAAATTTGACCCCCAAAGAAGGGAGAAATATTTGTTTTTATAAAATGAACAAAGTTCAGTTAACTTATTATTTTCCCATGCAGCTCTTAAACTTCACAATTATTCAAAAGTTTTGAATTTCTTGATAATTTTTATGTAACAGTGCCACTAATACACAGAAGAAAAGAAAAATGTAAAATAAATATATGTATAATATATATATATCTCTCTCTCTCAAATGTAGACATAAATTGCCATACTCCAAGCATACATGATGCAGGAAGTCTGAAATATTCTACAATTTTGTCACTCCAAAATAGGCAAAATAAAGCGGTACCACAAGCAGAGCAAGCAGGGAGCACGGAGCATACTATGCTCATACACACACCAGGTTGCCGTTGATGCCTTGAACAACAATACTGGGCTTTTCCTTGACGAGAAAGTTGTTGTTGGCGTCGACCACGAAGTTAAATCCACAGGTCACATGGGCGTGGCATAGCTGGAAGGAAAAAAAGAGTGCATCTAATTATTTGTGGCCATTTGTCCTAATTCTCCTGAGCAAAAGTTTGTAAAAAAAAAAAAATTCATCTGACCTATGTCTTAATAATTAAGAATCACATTTCAGAGGAATCACCTGTAATGAAATGGATTTGTGCCACCAATAGGAATCTCAAATATAAAAACTCTTGATGTGCATTTTGACTACTATAAGTATAAGGAAATGATGCAGGTAAATCTGATGATCAGTCCTGACTACTTTAAAAAAGCTCTACAAAAGGAAGGTAAAACGACTCGTTCAAATTCAGCAGTAGTGTCTCTTGCATGTTCATACAAGGCTGTGCACCCTGTATTAGACCAAAATCACTTTAAAAAATATACCAGCCACAGTAAAAACAATAGATCTAGCAAACTTAAAATTTAACAAAAACAACTTTTCATTGGATGTGAACCTTTTTTTGTGTGCCAAACCTAAATATAGTGCATTCTGCAGAAAGTTTTAATCAATTCCAATTTGATATGGTATGATAAATTTGTGAATGGCCAAATTTTCCTTAAAAAAGATGGCACAATTTGGTCAACTCCTCCAAAATCATGCTTGTTTAATTTGTTAAGTTCTGAACTGAGTTCATTTAATTAATAAATTCGTGGCCAACAACCAATCAGAAAGAGATTGTGCATTGTTGGGTGGGTTCGTTTGTACTCAAGCCCTTATGGACTTTCAGGTCAAATCTAATGGAAGAAAGAAGAGAGAGGTCAATTGACAAAGTGTACACTGGCCACCTCAATTTCCCGCCCCGCTCCAATTCGACGTGATCATGTATTTGACCAATGGGCATCCATTCTTACCTGAAGCCTGTGTGAGGTTTTCAGCGTGCGCACGTGTCGGTCACCAGTGCTGTACTTGGGGAGCTCCACAGACACAATCACTTTGCCCTTCATGTCCAGTTTCAAGAAGTCCAGCAGAGTGTACTGCTGCACCACTCCATCACTGGACCCTGGGGGTGGGAAACACGCACGAATAAAAAATAATTATTGTTGGTAGCATGGGCTTTTACACACGCCTGTTGTAACACCCACAGACTTAAGGCTGCTGCCATAATAGCTCATCCATCAATGTCTGATGATGAATAATATATCCACAGGGGAGAATATTTATTGAGCGGATAAGAAGAATTTGAAGGCTTTAAAAGTTAAGATGACTTGTGGCTTCTGCTGTGTCCGATGAGACAAGTTCTGGTAGAGACAAGTTCTGGTAGAGACAAGTTTTCCTCGTTTTGAATATTTAAAAACTCCACTTTCACTTGTGGCAGCTGCCATCGTTAAGTTAAAATTCCAAAACAGCTAGTGAACATACGAGCACAATTTTTTTAAAAAGCAAACCGTTTGAAGCTTATACAATTAAAGTGTCTTTGTAAGAGCAGCAAAGACAGGTTTTTGACACCCTATGAAAACTATATGAGTTCATCAGCCTCCTGTCCCATACAAACATAAAATAATTTAAATAATGACAGATCAGTAGCAAAGTTCATTGGTAACATACTGTTAAAAACAGGTAATTTAGTCAATTAGAGCTCGACGTAAAAAGCGAATGACAAAAGCCCAAAGGGTAGGCACAACAGCTTCAAGTTTAGACTATAGTCAAAGTCCTAAAATATTATGTCAAACAAGTGTTTGGAATGGGACCCAGTCTCAAAGTAGCCTTGAAAAAAAGCACCAAAAAAACCCCAATCCGTTATCTACCAAAAGTAGACAAGTATTACTAAGCTGTGGACAAAGATTTTTAAGGAAAACAAAAAGAAAAAGGTAAAAAAAATTCTCTAAGGAATCTAAAAAACTTGAAAGTAAATGCATGCATCAACACACCACCACAAAGCTTACCTATGTTGAGTTTTGCCCCAACAGTTTCAAACATGGTGAAAACATCAGAGGCAAAATCCTTATGCAGGTTCTTCAGCATCAAGTTGCCCGCCCAAGAGCAAAGCTAAGCGCAGTTGATCGAAGTTTGTTGAACCATGACAGAGAAAAAAGAAACCAATTAAAATAATATGTCAGAAGAACTATTTTACCATGAACTTTTAACTTCAACCATAAAGTAAAACAAAGCTGTGCTGCGAACTAACATGAAAACAACCAACTTGTGTCTCGCATGGCTCACATGGCCTTATGTAGTTGCAAGCGTCATAAAACTCTTACCAAACCAAACCAACTAGTTGTCAACATTTCATGCAATCAGTGGCTGAGCCAAGTTATGGAAATCTTCTATGTAGAGGGAGTACACTTCTTTCAAGTCAACAAAGATACTTGACACTGGCCAAACAACAAAACAGTTTTACTTTTAAAAGAGAACTTAGCTCATTTCTTTTTGCCTCACAGCTGCCACACACATCAACAGTCTAAAATAAACCATTATCACTATTGCTCTTATTCAAAGTGCTATCTCTTCTTACGAAAATATGCATTTAACTTTTCAATACTACGCAGTGCGGATTGTCTTTTTTCCACAAAGCAAGATCATTCAGAGGCATAAAAGTGCTCAAATGTATAAATTTATCTAAAAAATATACACCATAGACACAGTTACAAACTTTATGTACATGTGTTTAGTAAATATGGGACGAGAAGGCCAATATATGCTGGTGTGTATTAATGTGTGTGTGTGTTGTGTGGGGTTTTTTTGGTGTGTTTTTTTTGTAAGTGTTTTACAGAACTCGCAACTGCATAAGGTCATATGAGTGAGCGGGACACATTAAACATTTTCAGTTGGAATGAAATTTTGAATTCTTCCTGGGTGGCGGTCGAAGCCTACTCTTATCTATTTTGGCCCACCAAGGGATCTTTAACGTGCGCAACTTGCACAATGGACCTTCGAGATTTTTTGCCCTTGTCCGAGAAGGCTAGGTGTAGATCTTTCCTACCACGAGATCATTGGTGTGGCTGAAAGACAGCAGTAAGGAGCCAAGGAGTATCAGTAGAAAGACAGCAGAAAGAGTCAGGAGCTCAGAGGAGGGGGCAACGGAGGTGAGGGGTTGGGGGCAGAAAGTGGAGACGAAAGCAAATGACAGAATATCGTTAGAGAGGATGTGAAAGGGGAAAACTTTAGAGAAGAAAATTTTCCATCGTTTTCCGGATTCGAACCCGGGACCTATTGAATGAGAGGCGAACACCTTAACCTCAAGGCCACCAGAGCCCCCGTTTTGTAAGTGTGTGTGTGTGTGTGTGTGTGTGTGTGTGAGTGTGTGTGGGTGTGTTTGTGTGCATGCTCATGAGTATAAGTATAAGTCATCACGAAAAAAATGTTTGCATATTACGCAACATTGTATCAGCTTATCATTATTATAATTATTATTATTATAGTTACTATTATCATCATCATCATTATTATTATTATCATCATTTATTATTATCAGCATCATCATAATTATTATTATTATTATTATTATCATTAAAAGGCAAACACACATTTCTGATGCCACTAGACGCTGTTCTCTTCAAGTGTTTCACAAAAGCATCCTTGTAGACGAGGCCAGGGTCAGTGGAAGCAACAAACAACTCCAGCAGAGAGGCGATGGATACATTTGCACCTAGGGTGATGTGATCACTCGACCTTGTCTGCCAGGAGGGGAAATCCAAGAACATAGAGTCAAACTCACAGCACGACATACATAGTGACTTACAAGAGTTGAAATAGGTTTGAATTACAATCTTCAATACATTATGTTTCTCCGTGAATTTTACATTTGAAGAATATAAGGAAGAAAATGGCTTTGGTCAGTCTTCCATTTTTGTCTTTTGTCTGTTATGATTTATTGTTAAGCTAGACTCATTTTGTCCATCAATACTATTTTTATCCGAGATAGCTGTAGTTACATATTAGTGATATATATTTAGACCACTCATATACGGCAAGAACAACAGTAGCCCATATGAGCATAAGAAAGAAAGGCAGTAATCATTAATATTTGAGTCAATGCGTGGTGAAATCAGGCGCTCATTAATTTTTGGACATGTGGAGTTATTGGTACCATGTTAAAACATGTTCAATTGTCTATCTTTGAATTCTTTTTAAAAAATACTCATTTAACTTGAATAAAAGACAAGATATTTGCGATTGAAGGAGATGGAAGGGTCACTTCGTTTCAGAAATAAAATTAGCAAGAAAATGGCAGCCAAAGTTTGGGACTTACAGAATTTGAGAGTCCTTGGAAACTGAAATTTACCCTTTTTGTGTCTTTCATCGTTTTCAGAAAAATCAAAACAAATGTGTTTTGAAAAGGAGATAAAAGGTGTTGAGCCAAAAACCCAAAATTCAAGAAAAATTGCCAAACTGTCTGAAATATGCCGGTATCTTCGAATTCATCATTTCGATGAGGGTCTGATTTCATTACGATGCCTAACTGTTTTACTGCGATAAATACTGTTCTTTCCCTGTAGTCTTCATTTGCAGTCTCTCTTTTTTCTTTAACTTTTACCTTTAAAGGGGAACAATATTAAAAAGCATCTTGCATCCTTAGAATGAGAGGGTTGTAACTCCGCTTTTTGAGAAACAGACTACATTGATAAACTAAGGTACTTCTTTCAACTTTTCAGTGACAAGGAACCAACCTGAATGACGTAGAGCTCCTGGACATTTCTTATGTCTATGAGAACAGAATAATTCCAAGGTCCAATTTCTCCATAAATACCTAAAATAAATAGAAAATACACAAATATAAGAGTCACTGATGAAGCATATGGGATACACTGACAAACATATCTTAAAATTCCAAAATCAACAGAAATCACAGTTCATATCTTATTCATCTGTAAACAAAATCTCCATCTTCTTTTCATCCTCTACCTACAACTCTTCATATCTCTCATTCTCTTTGTCCTTATCCTACTCCTCCTTCTTTCTGTTCTCATCCTTTTAATGCTGTGCCAATCTCATCTTTTATCTCTTCTCTTCTCTCTCACTCCAAGGAGAGATAAGGAAGATAAATGTTTGACAGGAAAGAAAGAGAAAACCACACCGGAGCATCCGTCAACCACCCACATCCTCCAGCAGTTTGTTCTATCACTATCAAACTATCTTGTATTTTGTGTAGACACTGACCAAAGCCTGTGTTGCCGAGCACCAGCCTGTACTTGTCCGCAGCATGCTGCCTCAGCAGAGGGTACAGCTCCGACAGGGTCAGGGGTTTGAACCACTGAGCACTGGCATTAACGATGTGCAGACTCTTGGGCACGCTGTTTCCGCATGGCGCCCCAGCCTCCGACTTCTGCTCGCAGTGACCAACACATGCCTGCCCCGTCTTCCGACAAACTTTTCCTTCAAGGTCCTGGCAAAGATAACAATTGGCGTTATTGGGGGGTTTTTTGGTTTGTTTTATAGCACCTGCGACACAATTATAATAAGTAATAAAAGTGTCCAAGATAAGAGGTGTTGCAATAGAGAAACAAAAAAAGAAGGATGAGGGATAAGGATAAAAGATATTTGATAGGAAAGAGGAGAAAACCACACCAAAGCACTTGCTAACCACCCACACATTACTTGTCTGTTTATTTCATCCAAGCGAGGTAGTAGCATAAAAAAACAGACAGTCCCAGCTACATTGTTCGAGGATCCCCACACATAGACAGCTTTATTGTATTAAACACAATAAACGTAGGACTATTTTATTGTTGTGAGGGTGATATAACAAAGCAAATATGAAGCTATGGAGAGAACAAATCCCTCAAACTCATCTTACTCATCTCCCAAGCTTACACGTACTTGTACCTACCTAGGTCACACAGATTCGATACCAATCAATTTTTTATTTGGCTTAAGGATTACATGCTGGCTGACAGGTTTATGCCTCCAAAAGTAGCATCTTTATTATTGTACATTACACTGAAAACTCTTTTTCAGCATCCTCAAAAACATTAAAGTAAAACCTCCAATCTCCGCACCCTTTCCCCCAAATTTAAAATAACCTGAAGACCGAAAGTCCTGTGGATCAGGCAAAGATATTAGTTCTTTACTTCAGCAAATAGTCATTGGCATGGCGGATACTATCCATAATCCTACAAATAAATATCAGCATGGCTGATACAGTCTATATCCGTGAATAAATATTGGCTCGGCTGAGGCTGCCTACACAAGTCTTTTGACCAACAAATTCAGGGACAGCTGTAATGAGTCTTTCCTCCGACAACCAAGCAACAATAATGTATTGAAGATAAAAACTCTCCAGAAAACCCCAACAACAAACACCAACCTAACAAAACCAAGTTTCACTTTCTAAGTTTATTTCATCCTATCAAAACACTGAAAAGTGGCACTCAACTCTTCATGTACTCGAGATTAAGATCCGAATTTGTTGGGGTTTCTTCCCTTTACAAAACTCAGATCAAGGATGTTGCACAAAAAAACGTCATATGTGTCATGGTGCTGTGAAATTAGGTGCTCATCAATTTTGGGGCATATATGGAGTTATTGGTATCATCTTAAAGCCTGTTCGTTTGCCTTGATTTAAATCTAAAAATTATCCTTTTATCTTGAATAGTAGTCAAGATATTTGCCATTAAAGGAGGTGGGGGTCACTGGGTTCAGAGGTAAAATTAGCGAGCAAATGGCTGCCGAATTTGGTGACTTCTATAGCTTGAGTCCTTGAAAACTGAAAATATACAGTTTTTGTCCCTTTAATAGTAAATTCCACACAGAAACACCTTATTAAATAGACCTAAAAGATGTTTAGCCAAAAATTAAAAAAAACCCAATAAATATTGCCAAAGCAGCAGAAAAATGCCGGTTTCTTCGATTTCAGTATTTCGACAAGCGCTGGATTTCACCATGATGCCTCACATGTTTAGATCAAATACGTCACAGAATAAGTGTATCCACTGTATCCACTAGCGTATTTGCTTTACACTGCATCCATGATTTCAATGGCACAGAGTGCAACTCTGAGCACATAAGTGATAAACTGTAACACAGTGTGTTGTTCTGAGCATTTAAAGAGTTGAAGATTATCAGTAAAATTCCTCTCAGTCTCAGATTACAGTCTTTTATACGATTCTCTTCTCTGACCCGAGGGTAAGAAGAGTGATTATTTATGACTTTCATGTCAAGGCTTCACCATCAATCCGTGATATTTTAAAGGAGAAAGCTAAACCAGTTTGATAAGTATGCCTGCTGCAAGAACAACCATTTCTCTCCTAAACGAGGAGCAAAATCACTTTACATCTGAAGTGACTCTGCCTAATGGTAACAATGGTTTCTGCATATACAACAAAAGAACAATTCAAGTTCAAAAGAACGATTCAAGAAAATTACCTCAATATCTATGAGACCTCCCTCTGACTTCAATGAATCAGGCGCATCAACAGCAAATGACTTCATTGCGGACAGGATAGCTCTGTATCCTAAGGGAGGAAACAAGATAAATAAATGTTTAACAAAAGTGAGTGGCATACTTTAATAGCACTGTTGTGAAGCAAGCATGACGAATCAAATTTGTCTTTCTTCTGAGCGATGTGTTGATTTAACCAAGCCATAGGAACTTTTTCAAATGCAAACAATCAAGCACTGAATGTCACTAAATAGTTTTCTTAAAAAGATTTCATTACTCAGTATATGTAATTTTTTTTAAAAACCTGAATATTTGCATCATTTTACTGGTCTTTCTACAAGGTAAAAAGTTCAGACCTGTACATCTGCACAGCGTTGTATCAAAGGCATCTTCCACTTCCTGCACTGTGGGTTTGGGATTTTTCTGTAGCAATCTGTGAAGCAATCCATGATGCCACATCAATTAAATACTTTGTTGGCTATCAAAAAATGGTTGATTTAAAGCATTCATAATTTTCTGCAACTGCATTATACCATTCTCTTTAGATGCTAAAAAAGTTGGGGGGGGGGGGAAGATTCATTTTAAAAAATATCGGCATGTCTGTTATCAAATACAAAGCAGACAGTAAAAAAAGTAAAGTTGTTCCCGCATCCGATCCGGACATTGGGGATTGCTTTGTTAGTGAGACGACTTCCTGGATCTTCGGCATGTTGTGGTAGGGTGGCCACTTCCTTTCCACGCCGCCTTTACTTCCCCAACTCGAAGTCAGGTACCCATAACTGCTGGGCAGGCTGGAGGGGCGAAAAAAATCCGTGAGCAAAACCGAGGCTCGAACCCGGACTTTCCGCTTCGGAGACAGCTCACTAACCGCTCTGCCACTGCACCCTCATGCAGACAGTACTTTCACCTAATTGGCAGTACTAGTAAAAGTTTATTACCTCTTTCTAATTTGTTTTAGAACGATCCACCATGACTATGATCCAACTTACCCATACATATTCATGATTTGACCAGGAGTGCAATAGCCACACTGAGCCCCATCATGTTTCGCCATCCTATCCTGTATGGGATGGAGTCCATCCTTGGTGCTGCCAAGGCCTTCCACAGTGGTCACCGTAATGCCATCACATGTATACAACTGCAGGCAGCACTGTACAACCACAGAGAAAAATAGGATTTAAGCTCGGTTATCCCATTAAGAGAAATCTGTCTTAGCTCACACATGCCAAAAAGAAATAACTTTCAAAACCTTGAGTTTGACTATGATTTTGATGTCCACAGCTATTAGTTCCTGAAAAGATGCTCTTCTTTTTTACAATGCTACTTATCACACAAAAATTTTAACAGGAGAATCATTCGTTATTCATGTTCAGGATATTGAGTCAACCTAGAATATTTGGCTGTAGGTGGTGTCATGGGCCTAAGGAGAATTATTTACAAAAGATTTATTTCCCTTTCAGGTCCCTATTTCATAAGACTCAAATCTGACAGATGTTTCCAGTTTGCTCATGTCTATGATAAACAGCAGACTTTAACATGAAGCCATTCAATCATTCATCACAAAATCCCTTTAACTCAAAATGATTCAAAATCCCCCTTCCTTATCCTTCCATTGCAGCTCCCCTTCACACAAAGTCTGTTTAACATTAAAACAAAGAAATTCTCTGGTCCCATGAAGTTGGTGTTATGAGGGTTTCACAGTAGTTTAATACGATATCACTAAACTAGATTTCCGATATAATGCTCACAGAGTTCACGGCATAGGGGCGAATCTTGCCAGTGATAGGGTCAGTGAGGGTCACAGTGACCAGGCACAAGCCACATCCACCCTCATAGCAGCCACCTTTGGTGCCAGTAGAGATCCGCGTGCTGCGCATAAACTCCAGAAGCGAGGTTGCAGGGTGAAACTCATTTCCGACTGGATCAGAAATAGGAAATAAAAATATCATTTCCGACTGGATCAAGATGTGAGAGAAAATTAAAATGTCAACAGCTAAACAATAATAATGGGTCTCAACATCTGAACAAAGAAGTGGTGCCAGACGTTGTACAAGGTGAAAATATGTCAGTCCACATATATTTACCCCCTTCAACGGAAATGTATTTTAGCAGTGGCTGCACCTTTTAAAAATTAAATTAAAGTGCTCTTTGAGTGTACTAGTGTATTATCAGTTTGGAATTATGATCAATCCTCAACAATGCAATAAAAAATAGCATGGTGAACATGTACTTTCTAAAATCACAGACATTCATTAAGTAAAGTTGATGATTTAGCTCTGACTTCCAGTCAAATAAAACACAGTTGAACCTGTAGGACATAAAATGAATGAAACAGAAAGAAACAACAGAAATATTATTCAGTTACAGACCTGTGTAATTTTGTCCATTGATGGTAAGGCTGATGTCATTCTTCTGATCTCCAACAGACCGGAACTTGAAAAAATGGCCACAGTTCTCACAGTTGCAGGAATAAACCCCACTGTCGAGAGTACCGTCTCTGGGCAAGAGGCTGCATTACAAGAAATATTTAACCAAAAAGTTAAACGAGGAAAAGTTGAGTTTGTTTTTACACCTCTGCCCCACCCCTTGAAAACAACAGCTCATATATTCTCGCACTAAGTACAGAATATCTTTTCGGTGTAATTTTTCTTTTTAATGTTGGTGGTTTTTTAACGCCACCATTGACACAATATAATTTAGGTGGCAGGAATTGACCCTGTCTGTCAGGACAAACCCGGGCTGAGAGGGATACAATGACCTAGCAGAAAGACAGAGATGCTTCATTCACGAAATTTAGCCCCCATACTGTCCCATAAAGTGTGTGTTTTGTGACAGTGTGGGAGGGGGGGGGCAGTGTTGTGTGTGTGTGTGTGTGTGTGTGTGTGTGTGCGTGTGTGTGTTTGTGTGTATGTAATTGATGGACACATAGATGGATGGATGGATCAGTAAATGATAATTGACAATATATATATGGTTGATGTTCCAATGAGTTAGGAGAAGAGAGAAGATGGAAGGAGGGGTAAGGGAGGGGGTGGGGGGAGAGGGGAGACAGAAACTGAGAGAAAGAGAGACAGAGATATAGGCAGATAGACAAGCTGACAGAGACAGAGTGTGTGATAGAAGGGAAAAGGAAAAGGGGGGAGGGGGGTGCACATAGAGACAGTGAGCGAGAGAGAGAGAGAGAGAGAGAGAGAGAGAGAGAGAGAGAGAGAGAGAGAGAGAGAGAGAGAGAGAGAGAGAGAGAGAGAGATAAACAGTCAGAGAAAAAGGACATTAAAGAGAGAGGGGGGCAGACAGACAAACAGAGAATATATGAGCATGTGTGCAGGTGTGTGTGTCTTTGTCTGTTTGTGTGTGTGTGTGTCAGTGTGTGTGTGTCAGTGTGTGTGAGTGTGTGTGTGGTGTTTTGTGTGTGTTTGTAAAAGAGAGAGATCTGGAGAGAGAGAGAGAGAGAGAGAGAGAGAGAAGAAGAGAGAGTAAGAGATAGAGAGAGAGAGTGGGGGTGGGGGTGGACAGATAGTACAGAGGGAGAGAGATAGGGAGAGAGATAGGGAGAGAGAGAGAGAGAGAGAGAGAGAGAGAGAGAGAGAGAGAGAGAGCGAAACAGACCTATCTCAATCTAAAAATATGTCATGTATGTGATAAAATACAAAACAATTACGGTAGGCTAAAACACAAACCTTGTGGTTGCCATAGAGTCTAGTTATTCAATAAAACCTTCAGTGTCAGAATTAGAAGAGTCAATGTTCAAGAAGCCAGCTGCTAGTGCTATCAGTTATAAAATTGTTATATCCAAATTGCCGTAGGTCGTGAAGTAGGCCTACACTACAGCCTGCACCAACCTGGTAAGTTCAAGAGGCTATTTAAGACTATTTATATTATAGTCAGTAGGCATTAATTGCACGGATTAGAAAGAGGTCCAGGCAGTCCAGGAGATCCAGATTTTAAATCTTGACGTTGAAGTAAGGAAGACAGCTGAACCTCAAGATCCACCACAAGATAAAGATCTGACCAAGGCTGTAGCCAGCAGTAACAGCTGCACTAAGTAGACTACTGTGTCACACAGTCACGTTAGTGTATTCAATTTTAGACTAGATTAGATTCTAGACTCTAGATCTAGACTTATTGCACTCAGAAAATACTCAAGTCAGCCCAAGTATAAATAGTAAAAATTGGAAGGCACTAGATAATCTAAATCTAGATTAGATCTATTTATAAGGTAATTGCGTGATTTACGTAGTTTACGATCTCTTTAAAATTAGGCCTAGGCTAGATTTCTACTTCAAGTCCGCAGCACTCTTCCTGCAGGTCCTCTGGATTCAAAGAATGCATACTATTATTTTAGCTTTCAAAGTATAACTAGATCTATATCTAGATCTAGATTTAGATCTAGATTTATACATCTTCCGAATGCGGACTGACAGCAAATAAGCGGCTTCTTTCTTAACAGCAGTTGTTCACTCTATTGTTCACTGGTGTTGAAAAACGAAAGTAGCTCTACAAAGATGGAGAGTTAGTGTTGTTTATTGGAGAGTGGAGAGTAACTTCCCACCAAAGATCTTGTACTATCTTTGTTCCCACTTCCCATGTCAGAGAGTCGTGCGAATCGAATATTCGAGTTTTTATTCGAACAATAATATAGGCAAGAGGCAAGTCATCCCCTTTGAAAAGAGCCCTTTTATTAATGGCCTAGGCCTACCTGCTGTTTTGCTTTTATTTTTGTCTCGTTTTTTTCGTTTTTTAAAATAAAATTCATACCACTTTGTTTGAAAAAGATCTCATTGAAAGGAGTTTATATAATACCAGGACAGCTCTCAATTATATTAAATCCGTGGTTTGCTTAATATTAGGTCGGGCCTGCGGTTCAAAATCGTAGAGCGAAAAATGGACCAATCTGGTTTTCTGACCTCATGGTCTAAGTAAAACAATCAATGAGCCAAAAAAGTCAGATACATGAAGATCTTTGTAATTCTAAGGTAGCGTACTGGCTGAGCGTGATACAACATCCAAGCAGAAAGAATGAGATAGTACGGTTCTCGATAAGTGTGCCGGTTCATAGTTCCCATTGATCTGCACGCAATGATTAGAGCACTAATATTGATAGCCTATCGATCATAACCTAACGAAGGGTGCCAAAGCAGCAGAAGCCAAGCGCATCATTGAAGCCAAACGAAACTGCAACGCTGCAACGTGCCCAAATCTAAATTCGATCTGCTTCCACCACAAGCCCACTCTGCAGTAGGGCTGAATTCTGCTCGGTTAATCGAAGGCTTGCAAAGTAGCGGACGTCTTGCGGTAGAGTCTTGCGAGCAGCCTTGTGGTTTGATTTGCCCCCCGCTTGCTACAGGAGGGAACTTCCGGTGAGTTGTGACTTGCGGACAGTCCTACTGTACTGTATCGTGACGTAGCGAACTCTCGTGGCAGTGGGCTCATTACAGAAGATTCTCTGGTTATTTGCTTTGAGAGGCTTGCACCAAAAGTGCAAGATCGGTTGTTTTTTTTCATAGTTCGGTTGCAAAAAACAAAAAGCTCTATTCAATGCACTTAAAAATTAATATTGGATTGTCTATTCTTATGATGTTAAGGCCTGTTTATTTTTAAAGTGCACGAGCCAAGCGCTTCATCGTCGCACGCAAAAGACCTCAGTTCGATTCCCGTATGGGGAGAATTTTTTACTGAGAACCTCCGTCTTTCTGCTGGGGCGCTGTTCCCTCTCAGCCGAGGTTGGCCCTGACATTGGGTTGAAGTAGGCCTCGCCCGTCTCCTAAATGTTCTGTATTATGTCACTGTGAGTGTAACACATCTACAAAATAGGTTACATACACAGGGGCGAAGGCTGACTTGTTTGACAGGGTAATCAAAGGGAAATGGGACCAGATAGGGCCTGGAGATATCACACAAGTCACAAGAATCTTACTGGCACTGGAGGCGGCAACTCTGAGTTGTGAATGAAAACAAATCCTGAATTCATGTTGTATGCTTGTTCAACCGTTAAAATAATCGGGAAAGTATTTCATTAAATATGTATTCTAACTAACCTTAAATTTAACTTTAGATTTGAACACACGAACACCAAGGAAAGAAGCACAGATGTCAGCACTACAATGGCATGTTATTGTTATACCAGACAGCCGAAACACATTGGTAGAGCACGCCAATTATTAATTTTTTATTTCACATTTGGCTGTTTTTTGTCTAGCTTTTCGCGGCCAGGAGCCACTGTCATAATCGAGGTGACGATCTGATTATAGGACGTTAAAAAGTCGAGGAAAAAAAAAAACAAGCACTAGCAATGTAGTAGCAGGAGTCAAAGGATTATTAGGAGTTAGTTCCCCTCACATCTGTGAGGTAGACTCGACCAGTGTAATAGTTCGCTGAGATAATCAGCGCGTCTGGGTGCTTATAACTGTGGCCCGAAAGGGGTGAACAGGGTATATGCGACAATGAAACAGCTCTGACTGCTATGCACATGGTCCCTTCAAATCACAGAATTCTACACTAAGTGTAGAATTCTGTGCTTCAAATCTATTGGTTGACTCTCCCAGCCTCACTTTAAGCTTACTTAATCAAAGCTGGTGCCTGCTTATGGAGTGGCCCGATAGGGGCGAACAGGCTATTTCTCTGGCAATGAAACGGTTTTGAAGGTTAGGCATAGTCTATTGCTCATTGGTGATTATGAACGTCTTTTTACATTTAATTTATGATGATTACGTCTATGGGTGAATTTGACTGCGACAATGTTTCAAAATTAGGAAGGGAAGCAGTGATTATTTGATTATATAGACGCTTCGCCTCTGATTGTTCGTGATAGTTATGAGCAGCCACGACATGAGGAACATTCAAATTAGGTAGCTAATTAGTGACTGGTTAAGTAATTACTCTTTATCATTAGTACATCACATTTAATGTTTACAGTATTTATAATCCCAGCACGAAAAGATGAGCACATTCAGGGGGGTACAAAGAATACAACAAATGTGGCAAGAAGTGAGTAGTCTCAGCATTGGCCTACCTTTGTTCTGTGAGCGAGTCAGACGAGTCTTCACATGGGTTGATGACTACTCTTGGTTGGATGAACTCAAGTCCTTCCTTCTCCCAATACTCGTCCTTCATACGTTTTCCATGCGTTTCCCACTGCCGCCAATAAACTTTGTCCACTCGAGATATCACATTTTCTGATAGCTGTTTGACATCTTTCAGTTTAAAGTTTGTTTTTTGAGATGCAACCGTGCCTTTGATCTTCGCCCAGACGAGTTCAATTGTATTTAGATGGGTGTGGTAGGGTGGCCACCGTAGACAAATGTGTCCGTGCTGTTCCACAATTTGATCAACTTGAAATCGTTTGGCTTTTCTACGTTCTTCAACGAGCAAGAGAAGCTCAGGTTTAAGCTGAGACGGTGCAAATGGTATCCTCTCTTGGTTGAGCCAATCTGTCATTTCCTCTTTCCTGCTTGCACTTGTTGGAATGTTGTCCTCTTCTTCCACTACGTTGTGATATGACGCATTATCCATCACTAACAAGATGGCTTGTGCAGTGCAGGTCGTACTTTTTAAAAAATAATCCAATTTCGAAATGTGTTGCCATTCATTTCCTTGTGATATTCCCTTTTGTCACTGGAATTTGACTTGAAAGTTAGTTCTACGTTTTCAAGTAAACCCTTTTCACTGCTTCCATAGTGTGCAATGATCAGTCTCTCTCCTTTTCCAGCTGGAACTTTTCTTTTAATGTGTCCATCCTTTGACTGCCATTCTTTTTGGAACACACAGTGAGCGCTTATAAAGGTTTCGTCTAAGAAGCAAACCTCAAATCCTTTCTGATGGACGTCTTTCAACTCTCTCAAGTACTTACTTCTTAAAACAACAATAGGATTTCTTTCGCACAGTAAATTTCCCCACCATTTGATTTCCTGAACGTAAACCCAACACGTCTCACTGTTTTCCAAAGGCATATCTTCGATACGTTTATATCACAATTATCGGACAACCATCTTTTCAACTTTCTGAGAGTAACAAATTCAATTTCTTTCCAACATCTGGACAACTTCCCTCTGAAAATTACCAGTCTTCAAAGGCCGTCCTCTCTTAGCTAGGAAAGTCTCTTCATTCATTTCGTGCTGCTTTATCTATCTTGACAATGTGCTTCTGTTCCAACCTAAGGCCTGCCGAGTTCTTTCTTTTGGATTCCCTCTATCATGGGACAAAGCTCCTCTCTTTGCCTCTCTGTAAAATGGAAGTAGAGCTGAAGCGTAACCTTTTGAAGAGTGGAGAAAGTGAAAGTGTGTTTGGATGACTTCTTGTCCCTCATAGTGCAAACAAATCGTTGGCTCAAAGTGAATTCAAGCGCAAAACTTACAAGGACACTTCTACTTCCAGTTATAAAAGTCCTTTGGGAAATTAATGATTCAAAATTCCAAAACTAGACTACACCTTTGACTTCTTTGAGTTGCTGTGATGAAAGAAAGGAAGTCATACAAAAACTAAGCCTAATTTATTTTTTAAAGAGTCTCGCTCCACGTGCGCTAATGTAGTTGAGTAAACAATCCCGTGATTTGAGCAGTGTGCAGCCGAGGTTACTGGTGAGTTTACCCTCCGCTCCACGTGCCCACGTGCTGTGACGTCCGTTCGGCGGACTGCTCACACCTAAGGGCTGTGCAGCATGAGGAGATGAAATCGAAAGCTGTCGAATGGAAACAACTAAATTGTATTTGTTACCCCACTGTTTGATCGGACGAAAGAGCTCGTCCAACGGTCGACTTGTGGGAATAGTCCTTTAATGTCGGGATTGCTGTACTGTAAATAGCCTACATTGTCAACGTTCTTCCTATGACGTCATTTCCCTCTACTTCTTTTGTATGTTTGTCACACTCTTATGACCCACTATTTCTGGGGTGCCTTGATAGCAGACTTTGTGCTGTTGAAGCTAGAGAGGTGAGCAGAATAAGTCTGATTCCCTGTAAGGACATTTCTGTTGACATCCACCCCATGGCGCTCATGTGACCTTATGCAGTTGCGAACAGACAGTGAAAATATCAAAATAGATGCAACAGAAATAATAAGTTGTTTTTTTTAAGGCGACAGATGAGAAGAAAAGTAAAGAAATGAGTAGAGTCTGCATGAGCCTGCTAAAAATGAACGGCTCCAAACATGTATGACAACAATTAGGGAAAGACAAAATATGCAGTTTCTAAATGGGAGACAGGAATGGACCTACAAGCATGGAATATCTTTGTGTTGCTGGGAATAGAAGGCTGGCAGTACACAGAGCAAGGATAGTTGGGGGGGGGGGGGGACCTGGATAGATGGGTCATGGGACAGGCAGGGCGTGGTTATTATTATTATTATTATTATTAATGTTATTATTGTTATTATTGTTATTATTGTTATTATTGTTATTATTGTTATTATTAATGTTATTATTAATGTTATTATTATTATTATTATTATTATTGTTATTATTGTTATTATTATTATTGTTATTATTGTTATTATTATCATTATTATCTATTTTTATTGTGATTTTTATTATTATTATTTGCTGTTGTTGTTGTTGTTGTTTTTGCAGGTGAGAGTGAGGATCATGCAGCTCATACAAAGCCCCCTGACAAAGCTATACAAATACAGTCGAACCTGCTCTAACGCCAACGCCCCATCCTAGCTAGACAATCTCCTGGACAAATGACCACTTCGCACTCTACAACTTGAGTTTTTGGTGTTCTTCTACACATGACAACGAATGGTGTTTTGAACAGATACAACGGTATACTTTCGTCTTCTTAGACGTGTTTTATCCATGGGGTCTATTTACTACCAAGTTAGACCACAAAACGCACACTAGAACATATTCATTTATGGCAGTGGCGAACAGGGCAAGCTCATAACACCTGCCTCTCTCCCACTAAAAGGCCAGACTACATAGTACACGAGAACACCTAGGAAGTATTTAAAAAAAAAAAAAAAAAAATTCTTATTACGGTCAAAGGCTCAGGTTTTCAGAATCTGTCTTTTGACGAAGGAAAGCCAAATAATACCCAGGCCAGGCACGCGAAGATGGATGTCTCTCATACTTCGAGAAGTAATATATAAGGAAGATAGACAGGAATGTAAATACGTAGGAGAATAATATTACAGTCGAATTAAATTGTCTTAGACGACCATTCAGTGTTGAGGAGAAACAATAAATGACATGGTAATCTTAAACAGTAATGATCATGTTGCGCAGTGTCATCACAACGCAATGGAAGAAGCAGGAAATGGTCGTTTACACAGGTGATAGTCTTGGACAGGTGGTCGTTAGAGCAAGTTCAACTGCATTTCAAACAACAACAACAAAAAGAAAGATTACCTTATGGAACACATGGGACAAGCGACCACAGAAACGTCATGCTTTGGACCCAAGCCCTCCCCCCAGGGGGGATGTGGTTTGTCGGTAGACATTGCGGCGAACTCTTGAGTCACGGTACTTCTCCTCCACCTGGGCGATGGGCGATTCCCCAGCCACCGGATTTGGTCAGCACTTCAGCTTAGTTTTACAGCTCTGAGCTGAATAACAATATGGGAAGGGAACAACAGCCTTTTATCCGACTCACATTACACGTATTCGATCTGATAAGAACTTTTAGATACGAAAGAGCGTCAGCGACAAGCCACGATAAAGGGCCAAAAGGGCGCCAATAATAAACGATTTACATGTTTATATGCATAGTCGATATAGCCTTGCAGGCAGTGACATACTAGCATAAAAGCATGCGTTATTGGCCCTAGCTTATCCGGCACAATAATTTCTATTACACAGATCTTGATAACCGAGCAATTAGAAATCTGATCAGACCGTTGATACTCCACCGTCGTATGTGGTCTAGCGGTCAGGTGCTTCGCCGTCGCACGCAGAATATCAGAGTTCGATTTTGGTGCCGGGAGAATTTTTATCGAATATCTCGGCCTTTCTGCAGGGACGTTGAAACTTGAATTCCTCTCAGCCCAGGTTGGCCCTGACAAGCAGGGTCGAAGCCCGCCTCCTAAATATAATATTCTGAATTGCGTCGATGTTGGCATACAAACACATTGAAACAAACACATAAAAGATCGATACCCCCAACTTCATGGACACAAATCCAGCATCTCTGCTTTTTGCGTTCTCCGATTCTTCATCGCCGTTTTAGATTAAGTTAAAAACAAAACAAAAACAAACAAACAAACAAAACCCCACAGTCAGGCGCGGTTCGTCCATAGAGCACGGTCGTGCAGTGCCGCCCAAAATTTCTTATTGTTTTTGTACGTAAAGCACCCACAATAATAAAATAAAAGACGCCAGAAACAAACACAAGTCAAATATTATATCAAAACAAGGTCCTTGCTGGCTCTGTAACTGTAATTTCTGTGTCTACAGTGCGGTAAAACATCTACATGTACTATGCACTATGCCGTGCCAAAGCCTACGTGCTCTAACTAAACGTAATAGGAGATTCAACAGTGGTAACCTGACCTATAAATCGCTCTTTGGCATAACCCAAGCGATGACGACAGTCGTAGCGAGTTTGGCGGTACATTAATATTAATAAGTCGGCACATCTCAAATGTGCTCCAGACGAATAGTGCCGAAACATAAGCCCACAGTTGGCAGTCTAAAAATAAACGTCATATACTGTACACTATTCTATGCCAAAATTATGTGAGCCCCGGAGCAATCCAGCAGAGTGCTCAAGTGAATTCTGATTGGTTCATTGTCTTGCCACTAGGCTATTTTAAGCGACTCTGTGACCGTGAACCCGAGGGAGGTGAATGTGACATACTCAAGTCACCGTCCTATGATTTGTGTCTTTGAATGGTTTTGTTTGTGGAGTGGTGAAAGTTATTACTTGAGTAATCAGTTCTTATGCAGGATGTTTAGCTAACAAACAGATTTTGTTCTAGAAATCAGAGCGACAAGTATAAGGAAAGAAAATAAAAGAACGAGCTCCTCCCTCACCAACCCAAAGATCCTAAAACTATACACCATCCCATTTACAATGCCTTTGACTATCTTCAGCCTGTGATAGCTTAACTAATTGTGCACGCCCATTTTTTAGCCCCACGAGCCGCCCCTGCCCACAGTAGCCTATTTTTAGAAATTAATCCTTTAGCTTGACGTTTCTTTTCAATCCAATTCAAAAACATGCTTTTTAAAAGTTAAGATTGACCTGAAAGTCAAGACGAGTAGAGCCCATTATATAATCACAACATAATATGCCAACACAATTGAACTCTTTTGCGGCATGGAGTTTGTGGATGGATTAAACATAATACGAGGTCGGTTTTTGCTCTAACACGCTATTTTTTTTTCTTTATAGCATTCATTTTTTGCGGCATGCAATTGAATTAGCTATAAAAATGACAAATGTCAACTTTTTTCAGAGCAAGGGAAAACAATGAGACATCATAGCTTTTTTGTATTCGTATAAATCATGCCAGTTTTCAATTTCACAATAGCAATGGGCACAGCATTAAGAAATAGTACAAGTACTTAAGTTGGAAGC